CTCCTGGCTCTGCACTCAGGAATGACTCCTGGTGGTGCTCGGGGGACCCTATGGGATGCTGGGGATCGAACCTGGGTCGGCCGCGTGCAAGGCAAACGCCCTCCCCGCTGTGCTATTGCTCTAGCCCCATAAGAGTTGTTTTTTCTTTTTTTCTTTTTGGGTCACACCCAGCGATGCACAGGGGTTCCTCCTGGCTCTGCACTCAGGAATCACTCCTGGTGGTGCTCAGGGGACCCTTGGGATGCTGGGGATCGAACCCGGGTCGGCCGCGTGCAAGGTAAACGCCCTCCCCGCTGTGCTACCGCTCCAGCCCCCAGCCATGGCATTCTTGGTGGTGCCGCCCGCCTGTTTTTTTGTTGCGTTGCTCACAGATGCCTGGCAGGAGCATGGCTGGAATTGCCCGTGGTACTTGTGGTGTGTCTGTCTGCACATGTGTGCACACGTCTGTGTGTGCATATTATGCAAGCCTTGTGCACACAGACACACTAACACACATAATGTTAGTGTGTCCGTGTGCACGCATGCGTTCGTGTGTCTGTGTACGTGTGTGTGCTTGCCGGTGTGCGCATGTGTGTGTTAGTGTGTGCATGTCCATGTGTGCACGTGTTCGTGTGTCTGTGCGTGCGTATGCCTGTCAGTGTGTGTGTGGTTGGTGTGTGCGTGTCTATGTGTGCACAGGTGTGCTCATGTGTCTGTGTGTGCATGTGTGTGAGCATGTGCGTGGATGTCACACGTGTGTTCATGTGTCTGTGCACATACTTGTCTGTGTGCATGTAATGTCAGAGTGTGCACGTGTGCACGTGCAGCTGCGTGTGTATGTGTCAGTGTGTGCGTGTCCGTATCTCTGTGTGTGTCTGTGCCGAGACAGCGTGCCGTCAGGGTGTGCTCTCCTGCACTGAGTCCTGGCCCAGTCCTTGCCAGGGATGCTCCCAGCACTGCGCCTTCCTTGGGTACCCGGGAAATGTCTGTTCAAGTCTTGCATCCATTAAAAAAAAATTGGGGGGGTTATTTATTTATTTTTGCTTTTTTGGGGGTCACACCCAGCGATGCACAGGGGTTACTCCTGTCTCCTGCTCTCAGGAATTACTCCTGGCGGTGCCCGGGGGACCATATGGGATGCTGGGAATCGAACCCACGTCGGCCGCGTGCAAGGCAAACGCCCTACCTGCTGTGCCATTCCTACAGCCCCTTTGGGGGTTATTTTTAGGTTGTAGATATTCTGCGTACATTCTGCGTGCTTGTGGGTGTTCTCTAGGTCGCACACACCTGTTCACCCTGTCAGACGTACCACCGTGAGCATTTCCTCCCATTCTCGCGCTCTCTGCCCTTGGGCCACACCCGGTGGTGCTCAGGGCTGACTCCTGGCTCTGTGCTCAGGGGGCACTCCTGGGGAAGTCGGAGGGCCATATGGGGTGCTAGAGGCCTCCAGTCCAGGGCCCGACCCGCTGTGTCTCCCAGCCCCTCCCCCTGGCACCGCGTGTCCATCACTCGCTTCTCTCGTCTCCTGAGGGGCACCGGCCAACTCCGTCCTCAGTGGAGAGACAGTCGGTGTGAACTGTTTGATGAGTAAGTGAAAGTGAGCACCTGAAAGCGGCTGGTGGGTGGGTTTCCTTTCTGTTGGCGACTCCCGAGAGCTAGACCGTGGCCGCAGTGCCGACCTCTGTGTCCCCTGCTGGCTGCGCTGCTCAGCAGGTGGGTCAGGAGCCCATCAGCCATCAGCCAAAGGAGACCCGAAAAGCCGCGCCTGCACTCCCAGATCCGACCAGGAGGTGGCAGCATCTGCCAGGGCAAGTTTCCCCACCAGCCTGCGCTTGGGGCAGGGGATTCCCGGAGCTCACACCTGCTGGTCCTCAGGGACCCCTGAGCCCAACCACCTGGCAGGTGGGGAAACTGAGGCCTCCAGGAGGCCGCGTGGTGGGAAAAATCCCTGATGTGGGAATCGGACTGTGGCCGCGAAGCTGGCTGTTGTGCTGGTCTTCTGCCTTCCTGGGGCGATTCCTAACCTTGACCCTTCCCCATCCCCCCCATTCCTGGGGTCCAGAATGAGCTTCCGTAAAGCTCCCGTAGCTACGGGCAGGTCCAGTGTGAGAGGGCGGCAGCCCAGAAGGCCCAGGCAGGAGAGGCACCGTCACCCCGTCTCAGCAGTCTGGAGGGCATGCCAAGGCCACGGGGTCAGTGCAGGAGAAGGAGTGACCCCCCCCCCACACACACACACAGAGCCAGCCCCCGCAGGGTGCAGCCCAGCTCTGCCGCCCCAGGTCCCTGCCTCTGGCCGGCCTCCCGGTCCCTCTGCACACGCTCCCAGGACCGAGCCGCACGGTGACCCCAGTGGACCCCAGTCCTGTCACCTTCCCGGAATCGGGGCTGGAGAAAGCAGGGGTGGGCGGAAAGAGCTGTGAAAACAACGTGGGGGCAGGGGCATGGGGGCGCGTCCTGGGTGGGAATCGCTGTTCCCTCCCCAGCCCCCCGCGAGCCGAGCCTGCCCACCGCTCAGCCATGTGCTGGGCCCAGCCCACGGCTCTGGGTTTTCAACGAGAAGCTGGAAATTTGACTTTGGAAAGGAAGTCTCGAAGCACCGGCAAGCACTCCATTCAAAACAAACAAACAACTCCCAAACCCAAACCCCGAAACCCCAAGAACAACGAGGACAGGGGAGAAGGTTGAAAGGGCTGGAGCGCGGACAGCCCTGCCGGCACCTGAGGTCCAGCCCTGCACGATGATGCCCAGGGCACCTCAGACCAGAGACGGAGCAGAAAGCCCCAGGGGGTCCATGGCCCGTCCCTGGGTGGGGTCTGCTAGCTGGCTTCCTGGACACCCCTGGGGAGCCGGCTGGGAGGGTGGGGCCTGCCGTCCAGTCCGGGCCCCCTGGGGGAGGGCAGCGGGCGGGGCCTGTTGGGTAACCCACGGCGGTGTCAAAACAAGAGCTGACGTCCAGGCGGGTGGCCTCTGCAGACACCTGGGTGGCACCTGGTAGGGTGAGCCTGGCCCCCGGGGAGCCTGGCCAGGAAGGGGGGACCAGCGACCCGTGTCTGGGGGGCGAAGCTTGTGCCCCGAGGACTGATGGGAGTGGAGCCCGGCCCTGGGCTGGTCTCAGGGACTGGGGGCCTCTAGCACCCTCGCCCCGGTCAGTTCCTGCACCCAAGAAGTGGGTCTCGCATGGCTGGACGGAGGGACAAGGCGGGCATCATCCTCCCACCCCAGGCGGGTCAGTCCCCCATTGGGGGTAGTGCCGCCCCTTCCCCCTTCCTGCAGACCAGCAGGGGCCCCTGAGACGCGGGCACAGGGTTCAGAGAGGGTGGACAGGGGCTAGGGGCCCCCAGCACCCTCCCCCACCCCCACCCCGGTTCACTCGGAAGCTCCTGGGGCTCAGCGGAGCTCCCGGGCACCCTGACAGAGTGTGGGGGTGCTGTGGGGGTGCAGGGCCCAGAAGGAGCCGGGCTGGCTGGGAGCACGCGGCCCGCTGAGCGGGGGCGCTCACCTCCCCCTCGCCGCCCCCCCTCCACTCCCTGCACCTTCTGTCAGCTCCCGGGGAAGGAAGGGAGGCACAGGAGTCACCGAGTGAGGGGGCCTGGGATGGCGAGGTCAGGGAGGGCTGCTTGGAGGAGGAGGGGGCGACTTTCAGTCTGAGCCCCGAGGAGGAGCGTGCAGAACTGGGCAGAGCAGACACTCGCTGTTCAGAGGTGAGCTTGCCCCGTGCAGGAGTGTCCCCGGCTCAGGCCTCGTGGGGCAGGAGGCCCGGCCGGACAACTCGGCCAGAACCGCCAGCGGGGGGAACGCAGGGGTCTTGGTGGCCCCCAGACACGGCCGGAGGTTCCCGGGGCGCCGGCTGCAAACCCCCACCCGCCTCCTGCGGGCCTGGGGTCCTTCCTGGCAGCCCGGTGCCCCCGGCGCCCCTCCCCGCCCGCACCCCAAGGGCACCGGGATGTCATCCCTCCAGCACTCGGGGGCGGAGGTCAGCCCAGCTCAGCAGATAAGGCTGAGGATTGAGCAATGCCCGCCGGCCCGCCAGGGCCAGGGCCGGGGTCAGTGGGCCGGGGGTCAGCACCGGGCACCGGGGCAGCTCCGACCGGCTGCCCGCGACCCAGAGCGGTGGGCACGGGGCTGGCAGGACAGGGCAGGGCGGGCAGGGGAGCCGTGCGCCCGGGCGCACCCGGGGGTCCCGCGGGCTCCGGGTCCGGGGCTTCCTGGGGGGGCGGGCCCCGAGGCCGGTGACCGAGCCCCCCTCCCCGCCGCTGCAGGGTCTCTGTGCGGGGTGCGGAGCCTGCGCCAACCTGACCCGACTCTCGGCCGAGGCGGTGGTGCCGACGCGTGTCCCACGGACGCGGCGCCGCTCCCTTCTGGGATGGAGCTCAGAGAAGTGAAGTGACTCACCTAAGGTCACACAGCGCGGCCGAGCCCCCGCCCCTTCCGCCCTCCCGGGCCCGGGTCCAGCGCGGTGGGTGGGGCGGCCGCGGGCCGGGCCGGGGCGGGCAGGTGCGGTGGGCGGGCCGGGCCGGGGCGGGGCGGGGCCCACCTGGGCGGCAGCGGCTGGCGGGCGGGCACCCCCCATCTCCCCGCCCCCGGGACCGAGAGGCCCCCTGGGGCCGGGCCCGGGCAGGGGCGCGCGGGGCGGTGGGCGCGGGCCGGGGCCGGGGCCGGGGCGGGGAGGAGGCGGCGCGCGCGTGGCCCCCGGCGGGTCCCCCCGCCCCGCGCCCGCGCCCGCGCCCGCGCCCGGACAACCTCGGGCCCGGAGGGGGCGGTCCGGGGGCGGGGTCGCGCCGCCCCCCGGCGCTCCCAATCCCGGGGCGGCGGGCCGGGGGTGGGCCGGGGGCGTGGGGCCGGCCGCGGGGACCCCCGGGGGCGCGCGCCGGGCGGCGGGCCGGGGGTCCGCGCGCGCGCGCCCGGGCCGGGGGGTCCCCGCGGCCGCGCCCCCGGCGCCCCGCGGCGCGCGCGCGGGAGGGGCCGGGGCGGCCGCCAGGCGTGACGCAGCCGTTGCCAAGGCGCCGCCTTATAAATAACCGCGCTCGGCCGAAACTTTGGCGAGTCAGAGCCGCGCACGGGACCGGCCAGGGCACCCGGTCGGCCGGACCCGCGCCAGCGCCCCGCACTCGCCGCGGCCGCCCGCGCGCCCCGGGGCCGCGCCACCTGCGGGCCGGCGGCCGGAGCGGGCAGCCCGGCCCCGTCCCCGGCTCCCGCGTTCATGCAACGCCTGGTGGCCTGGGACCCAGCATGCCTCCCGCTGCCGCCGCCGCCGGCCTTTAAACCCATGGAAGTGGCCAACTTCTACTACGAGGCGGACTGCTTGGCTGCTGCGTACGGCGCCAAGGCGGCCCCCGCGGCGCCCCCCGCGCCCCGCGCCGCGCCGCGCGCCCCGGCCGGCGAGCTGGGCAGCATCGGCGAGCACGAGCGCGCCATCGACTTCAGCCCCTACCTGGAGCCGCTGGGCGCGCCGCAGGCCCCGGCCCCGGCCCCGGCGCCCGGCGGCGCCGCCGGCGACACCTTCGAGGCGGCTCCGCCCGCGTCCGCCCCCGCGCCCGCCTCCTCCGGGCAGCACCACGACTTCCTCTCCGACCTCTTCTCCGACGACTACGGCGCGGCCAAGAACTGCAAGAAGGCGGCCGACTACGGCTACGTGAGCCTGGGCCGCCTGGGCACGGCCAAGGGCGCGCTGCACCCGGGCTGCTTCGCGCCGCTGCCCCCGCCGCCGCCGCCGCCGCCGCCGCCGCCCGCGCCCCCCGAGCTCAAGGCCGAGCCGGGCTTCGAGCCCGCGGACTGCAAGAGGAAGGAGGACGCGCCGGGCATGGCGGCCGGCTTCCCCTACGCGCTGCGCGCCTACCTCGGCTACCAGGCCGTGCCCAGCGGCAGCAGCGGCAGCCTGTCCACGTCGTCGTCGTCCAGCCCGCCCGGCACGCCGGGCCCCGCCGACGCCAAGGCGGCCCCCGCCGCCTGCTACGCGGGCCAGGGCCCCGCGGCGCCCGGCGGCGGCGGCGGCGGCGCCGCGCAGGGCAAGGGCAAGGCCAAGAAGGCGGTGGACAAGCACAGCGACGAGTACAAGATCCGCCGCGAGCGCAACAACATCGCCGTGCGCAAGAGCCGCGACAAGGCCAAGCTGCGCAACCTGGAGACGCAGCACAAGGTGCTGGAGCTCACGGCCGAGAACGAGCGGCTGCAGAAGAAGGTGGAGCAGCTGTCGCGCGAGCTCAGCACGCTGCGGAACTTGTTCAAGCAGCTGCCCGAGCCCCTGCTGGCCTCCTCGGGCCACTGCTAGCCGCGCCGGGGTGCCCGCGGCCCCCGCCGCCGCCCCCGGGGGCCGCCCGCGGACCTGGGGCGCGGACCTGGGGCGCGGGGGCCCCGCCGTCTCCTTTGTCTCTCGCCTAGCTCGCTCTCTCTAGTTTTTGGGGGGTCCCGACCCCGCGGCGAGCGCGCGCGCGCGCGCGGCCCGGGGCGGTCCTGCCGGCCGCCGCGTCCGTGCGCGCCGGCTCGAGTTGATGCAATCCGGGCAGGAGCGAGGCCGGCGCGGGTGTGCGCGGGGCTGACGTAACCCACGTGTAACTGTCGGCCCGGCCTGAGTAATCGCTTAAAGATGTCCCCGCGAGGGCCCGCCGGTCGTTGTTGTCGTTGTTGTTGTTGTTGGTGCCTTCCCCCCCCTTTTTTGTATTATAAAAAAATAATCTATTTCTATGAGACAAGACGCGTCTGTGTGTTTTGGGCATCGCTTCCGTCGCGAGCGTTTCAGGACACTTGGGATAAACTTTTTTTTTCTTCTTTTTTGGAGCAGGGTGAAAAACAAAATAGGCTTTTTTTTTTTTTTGCTTTTGGAGGGGCAGGATTTGGCTTTTGACCTGCCCCCCACTCCCCCTTTCTGTTGGATCCGGAGGGTGTTTGCTTCTCCCGTGCGTGTCTCTGAGTGTGTGTGCGCGCGCGCGCGTGTGTGTGTGGGGGGGCTGTTGTTATTTTTGCCTTTTGGGGGGGTGGGGTGGGGGTGTTGCAGCTGGTTCGGCTCCTGCCGCTTCCCCCCCAGGGCCTGCGCCTGCAGCCGGTCCCAGGCAGGGCCGAGGGGGAGGGCTGAGCGCCCCGAGTGAGTGAGAGAGCGAGCGAGCGCCGCCGGGTCAGGCGGCCCGTCCCGGCCAGGGTGACTCAGCGGCCCCTGGGTGCCAGGGGAGTGAGCGCTGGGGGGCGGGAAGTCCGGGGTCCCTCCAGGGGGGCGTGCAGTGTTGCGGTGCCGGCTCGGCTCGGTGTTTGGGATCGGGCAGCCGGTGACTTGGCAGGAGGGGACCCAGCTGGTGGTGGTGGAGTGGGGGGTCCCACGGAGCCCCAGGTCTGGGCAAACCCTCCTAGCCCGCTCCAGGCGAGGCTGTTGAAAACATCACTGTGTGTGGAGGAGTTTCAGTGAGGAGCCCGGGTGCGTGGCTGAGTTGTGTTTGCGAGTCCCCGGCCAAGGTGTTGGGAATGGGGGCCAGGGTACCCCCCCTTTCCTCGCCTGCCCCTCTGAACTCCGCAGTGGGCACAGGGGGCCCTGCCCACCTGCCCTCCAGGAGCTCAAGTCAGGCTGGAGCCTGGAGCACTCCCCCAACTCTGCAAAGACGAGCCCTCCCCACCCCCCACCCCTGCTTGCTGCCGCCCTTCCCGGCACCCCCCTCCCCGCCCGGCATTCCTCAGAGTCGAGGGTGCAGCCTGGGGCTGGTGGGTCCCCAGCGCCTGGCGCAGGGCTGTTACATAAGCCTTTGCTCTTGTTATTATTTTTCGCTGGGAGGCTCCTGGCATTTGGCACCCAGACGCAGAGCCGAGCGGCGCGCCGTGGGCTGCCAGGAGCCGGCGTCCGGGGAGCCCTGGGGACAGCCGCCGCGGCCAGAGCTGGTCAGTACCGAGAGCGGGAGCCTCCGGGGTCCTGTGGCTCGGACTCTGGTTTGGGGTTCCTGGCCCTGAGGAATTCAGGGGTTGGGTGGACGGGGCCTTTGGTCAGCCCAGAGCCCGGGGCGCCTGAGTGCAGCTACACACTCTGATGTGAGTGTATGTGTGTATGTGTGTAAGTGTGTGATGTTGTGTGTGAGCATGTGTGTGAGTGTGTGCATGTGTGTGTGAATGTGTAAGTGTGTGAGTGTATATGAGTATATTTGTAAGTGAGTGTATCGTATGAGTATATACGTGAGTGTGTGTGTCTGTGTGAGTGTGTATGAGTATATTTGTGTGTCTGTGTGAGTGTATGCATGTACGAATATATATGTAAGTGTATCTGTGTATGAGTATATATGGGTGTCTGTGCGTGTGTATGTGTGTATGAGTATCTATGTGTCTGTGTGTCTGTGAATCTGTGTGTCTGTGTGAATGTGTCTGTGTGTCTCTGTGTGAGTGTGTGTTGGGCGCATTCTCCTGGGTTCTCCTGGGGCCTCTGGCCCTGCCTTTGCCCTGGAGAGGGGCGTGGGGCCCCTCTATGCCACCAGCATCACAGGGGTGAGGATCAAGGCCAAGGCCGGGGCCTCCAGCTTGCCCAGGACCAGGGCCGTCACTGTGGCGTGTGTCCTGGGTCGGGCGGCGGGCGGGCAGTGGCCGGGTCGGGGTCACCGGGTCGGGGCGGACGGGCCCTTGCTGCTCGCCTTGGCTGCTGGCCGCCTCTCCCCCGCTCTGTAGGGGACGCCAAGGAGCAGGGCGGGAGCGGTCAGTGCCCCCTTCCTGACCGCAGGCCTACCCCGCCCCCACCCCAGAGTTCTCCACGCCCAGGAGGGGCCACAGGAGTGGGGCGGGCAGTGCTCAGGTGGGACTGGGGGGGGTCCCAAGCTCACTGGGTCTGGGGGAGGGCGCGGGGCTGAGGCCTGCCAGCTGCCTGTCCAGCCCTGGGCGCTCAGCAGCCGGACACTGGTTTCAGGCTGGCAGCCGTCCTCACAGCACTGATCGGGGGCCTGGCGTGGAGCACTGTGGGCAGAGCCTCAGGGATAGCCGGTCTGAGATGGGGGTCATCCACAGGGCTTGGGGGCAGGTGGGCCACCCCCAGGCTAGGCTCGAGGTCCAGGTTCACAGTCCCGGGGGCTTGTCCAGTGTCCACCAGGGGCAAACATGCCAGGCCTCTGCACCGAGAACTTGCAGGATTTTTCTGTCCACCCCAAGGTTGGACGCTGCCGCTGCCGACCCGGGGCTGACCGCCGGGGACAGCAGAGCCCATGGGTCCGGTCGGGGGGATGACATGCACGTCCACACCTCGTAATGTGATGCAGTCGCCCCCCGCCGGGGCCCTACCCAGCAGGAAGGGGGCGTCCAGGGCCAGTGCAGCCTCGCGGGCTGGGCGCGGGGCCCCTGCTCGGCCTGGGCGTGCCTGTCCTCTTCGTGGTGCCTCTGGGCAGCGTGGGGTCTGCTCCTGGCTCATTCCTGCCGAAGCGTCGGCCTGCAGCTGTGGGCTGGAGACCGGGAAAACCCCCTTCACGCCCCCCACGCCCGTGCCCCGCCCCCCTGCCCTCCAGCTGCTGGTGGCTCATCCCGTTGCTGTTCCCAGGGATGGAACCGGCTCGACCGAGCCTCTCCCGGTGACGCAGGAACCCAGGATGGAGGTGACACTTTATGAGGAGAGACAGACACTGCAAGGATGGCAGGTGGGGACAAGGCTTCCTGAGGGAGGAGGACAGGGCAATCTGGGAAGGCTTCCAGGAGGGAGCCTGGGAACAGGGATCAGGCCAGGCGAGGGGTGTGAGGAGGAGCCTGTGTTCCCCTGGTGATGCATGGGCTTTCCAGCCCCTTCATCTGTTGCTCTAACATGACTGCTCTCAACCCCCCTGCTGCCACTGGGGAAACTGAGGCACGAGGTGCCAGGCCCCCGCAGCAGGGAAGTGACCGAGATTGTGAGCCCGAGAGGCCTTCTCCTCTCCTGCCCCGCCCCCACTCGGGGCCCCGCAGACCGTGCTGGGCTCCCGTCGGCCTGTCCGACACAAAACCCTCCTGCGGCCACCCCAAGGGGCGTGCGGGCGGCTGGGCTCCTCCCAGGCGGGAGGCCCGGCCACTCAGGGGACCGTGAGGCCAAGGGGCCTCGCCACTCAGAATCTGAAGAGCGGCGACTCCTGCCGGGGGCCGCTGTGGCCTACCCGCTGGCTGCTGCCTCTGTGGGGCCCTCGGGAGAACCCCCACTGCCACCTTCCGAGGGGGACCCGCTCCCAGCTCTGTCCCTGCACTGCAGGTGACCCGAGGCCCGTGGTGTGGCCGCGGGGGGTGGTCTGGGCCCTGCTGGTGTCACCCTCGCCCGCCACAGGTGGTCTCTGCAGGCCCAGCCTGGCCCCCTGGACAGCCGGAGTCCAGCAGCAGCTGACTGGGCCACAGAACTTCTGGCGAAGGAGCGGGGGAGCCCCCCCAAGACCAGCCTGGCTAGGGTTGAGTAGGGGGCCCGGGGGGGTGGGGGGGCACTCCCAAGGGTCGCAGCGACCTTCCCGGGGCCCTGCGGGAGCCGGCGGGTGGCAGAGGGGCAGCCCTGGCCCCTGCACGGGCAGGAGCACAGTGCAGTGGGTGACGGGCGCCGCAGGCCGGTGCCTGGTGGGTGAGCAGCCTCTGACCCAGGGCCCCGAGCCACACGGGCTGTTGATCGGGCAGGAAGGAGGAGCGGCTCGTGCCAGGCGGGGTGCGAGCGCCAAGGCGGCGTGCCAAGGGAGCGAGAGGTCTCCGGGAAGCCGGCCTGAGGGCACAGGGCACCTGGCTCTCGGGGGCGCCCTGCTGGGGGGCTGAGCCCAGGCGAGGGGGCTGGCACCTGATCTCTCACGTCCACGGAGGGAGAGGGAGAGAGAGGGCAGAGGGTCCTCGCGAGGCTCTCTCCTACGTTGACCACCCTGGAAGGAGGCCCCGGCCGGCCTTGCTGTGTGGCCTTGGGCAAGCAAGCCACTTGCCTGCTCTGTTTTCTTGGTGACAAACTGGAATAATAACAGGACCTGCCCCGTAAGGCGGCTGTTGAGGATTAAGAGCTAAGCTGGTGGTGATTTGAAGCACCGTCAGCACAGTGAAGTCTCAGCCGTCCTCGTTCCTGCTGAAGGCTCATCATCACCGTCGGTCGGGGCGGGCGAAGGGCCCGGCGGTGACGCTTCACTGCTGACGTGCTCTCCAGCAACGCGCAGGGGCTCGGGCAGGATTCAAGTCACCAGGCCTGCTGGGTCCGGCCCTCACCCCCGAGCCAGCCCCCGGCCCCACATTCCCTTCTGGATTCACCGTTTCCTGGCTGTGTGATTGTGGGTGAGCACGTTGCTCCATGCCTCAGTTTCCCTATCTGTGCTAACAAGGAGCCTCACCCCCACCGCAAGCACTTTTTTAAAATTTTTTTTTTTCTGTCTGGGTCACACCTGGTGATGCTCAGGGGTTCCTCCTGGCTCTGCACTCAGCAATTACTCCTGGAGGTGCTCGGAGGACCATAGGGGATGCTGGGAATCGGACCCGGGTCAGCCACGTGCAAGGCGAACACCCTACCTGCTGTGCTATCGCTCCAGTCCCGCCAAGCACTTTTATTAAAAGCAACTTTTCTTTTTTTGCTTCTTGGGTCACACCCAGCGATGCTCAGGGGTTCCTCCTGGCTCTGCACTCAGGAATTACTCCTGGCGGTGCTTGGAGGACCCTATGGGATGCTGGGAATCGAACCCATGTTGGCCACGTGCAAGGCAAACGTCCCCCTCACTGTGCTATTGCTCCAGCCCCTTAAAAATCTTTTAAATTGGAATGACTGC